TTATCTAGAATCTAAAACACTTTCTAAAGTCAGCTTGAAACTAGGTGGTACAGTGGATAGAGCACTGGCCCTGGAGACAGGAGGACCTGAGTTCAAATTTGACCTCACACACTTAGCACTTACTAGCTGTATGATCCTGGGCAAGTCACTTAATCCCATTGCCTAGCAAAAGAAAAAAGAAAGAAAGAAAGAAAATTGGCACCTCCTTCCCTAATTCAAAGGAGCTGTAGTAGATTGACCAAAGTAATGAAATCATGGGATCATGGAATCAGAGAATTGAAAGGGATCTTAAGGGTCATCTAGCACAACACCCTCATTTTAAAGATGAAGCTGAGGCCCAGAGAGGCAAAGTAATTTGCCCGGGATCACCAAGTAAAGAGCAGAGATGAGATTTGAAGCCAGGACCTCCATTACCAGATCCAACATTCTTTCCACAATAACATTCTCAATGATTTCCTATATCCCAGTCACCTCTGGTCCCAAAGGATCCAGATATTTTAGGTCATATTTCATTTACTATATCATCCAATAAGTGACTGAATAATTACAGCCAAGCTTCCTTGAGGCACACAAGTAGTTTCTAAATCAGAGCTTGTGGAATAAGGTACAGAGTAGCTCTTAATTTTTTTTTTTAGAAAGCTTTAATTTTATTCAGCTGTGAAGCAGATGAAACCCTGTTCAGAATACTCACCAAGGCCCCTCACATATTTTCTTCTGAGTTTTTTTCTCTTAATTTCCTTCTCCTCACCCCAAAAAATACTTTTTTTCTAAAAATGATTGGGATAAGGAAAGAAAGGTGGAAACATGGAAGGTTAGGGGGTAAGGCAGTAAGCTAGAGGTGGTTTAAAAAAAAAGAAAAAGAAAAGAAAAGAAAAAGAAATCTCATTTCCTTTCCCCTCCATAAATAAAAACCAGTCTATTTAGGTTCCAAATCTATTCAAACCCCTGCCTAGTCTAATGAGCAAGCTGTCAAACAAGGTCCAAATTAAACACTTGCTGATTGATTAATCTTCCGTTTTAACTTTTATTTTAAAAAGAACATAATAAAAGGTTTAAGCAAAGACATAAAAATGATTTATCTGCTAAAGAGTTAGCAGAACCAGAAAGTAAATCTTTCCTTATGGCTTTTTTGTATATTAGCAAAAGCCAAGTATTGTATATTTCACCTTTAGAAAGCCAAAACTTCCTTTAAAGTAGTGCATTTGAGAGAAGAAAACAAACTTGAAGATTTGACTTTAATACTGAATTTTCTCTTGATTTTCAGGGACATACAACATTAATATCACAAAGGCCCAAATGTTTTCTTTTGGTAGGAATTATTATCCTCTGTGACACCTGGAGTACTACCCATATACTAATGGGAGGCTTACTTTCAAATTACAAATCACTTTATGCAATAAATATTTATTAGCATAGACCAGAAAACAGAGGAAATTTTGATTTGTATAGTAAATATTTTTAATGTTTAATCAGCTACTAATATTCTAAGTAATGGGAAGGAAATTCCATCCTGTAAAGTTTTCAAAGTATGGATGCTAGACTCTATTAGCTCAAAGTCAACAACGACAAATTAAGGTAACTAAGTATATACCCTTTAGAATTACAATAGTATTGCAGTTAGCCACATTTTCCATCACCAGAAAATCTTAAGGAGAGTTTAAAGCTCATTGCTTATCTGAATTACTAACAGTTTACTGACTTGAGAGGGAGGGATCTGAAGTAAAATGAGTGTGAACACAACACTGGGTTCCTCCCCCACACCTACACACGTAACAATATAAGCTGTATATAGCATCCAAACTGATGATAATATATCCAAGTGTATCAGTAGTCAACTGAAGAGATATTAATATTTACTTGTGATCACTTAATAAAAATTCAATACTTTCAATCACTATTCCTCAGTCTCATAATCTTACTGATGATGTAAGCTAGATCCTAACCAACACTGAAATTTATAATTTCATGTAATTTATAATTTATCAACATGTAATTTATAATCATAATTGCTTTATTCTCTTTAAATTTCATATTTAAAATATTGCCAAATAAAACCCTCCTTTACTGACACAGTCATCTAAAATGACCAAATGGTATCCTGATTCTCCTTGCATGCTATTTTTGTACTGACATTGGAATTACTCAAGACTTTAGGAAAACTTTTAACAGATCAAATGATTTTTTTAAAAATTTGTTCCTAGGTTAAGCTAGGTGGCACAGTGGATAGAGCACCAGCCCTGGATTCAGGAGGACCTGAGTTCAAATGTGGCCTCAGACACATAACATTTACTAGCTGTGTGACCCTGGGAAAGTCACTTAACCCCATTGCCTAGCCCCCCCAAAAAAATCTGTTCCTAGTTAATTACTAACTTCTCATTGTATTTGGTGGAAGAAGCACAGAACTTGAGTTTGAGTAACTGCCCTCAAATCCTAACTATGCTACTTTCTTCCTACATGGCATTTGACAAGTCATTCACCTCTAAGGATTTCAGTTTCTTCATTTATAAAATGAGGGGGTTGTAAGCGATTATTTCAAAGGCTCCTTCCCACTCCAACGTTCAATGATTGTACATAAAACCAAGGTACTCACTGTTCAGAGAAATACATCTCTGTCGAAAAAGTCATAGCACTCAAATAATACTTGCTTTTGTTTCTTTGTTTCCCTAGTGGAGCTAACTGGTTAAGAAAATAGCACTGGCTCTGGAGTCAGAGGACCTGGGTTCAAATCTCTCTTTTGATGCTCTCTACTTATATGACCTTGGACAAGTCACTTAACTTCCTTAGGCCTCAGTTTCCTTATTTGTAAAATGTAATTAGACTATATGATTTCTTAGGTCTCTTCCAGCACTAGAATCACGATTCTATGATAAACACTTTCATATGGACTTTAATGAGGTTAACAGCCTTTGGATTTGGAGTGAGGGAAGAAGAAAAAACAAAACATTTATAAAGAATGTTCAGAGGTTCCATGATACCTATGGGCAAACTCCTAATCCCAGCCTGCATAAACATGAAATAAAGTTTTAATCAATACAGATCACTCTCTGACACTTGCTATTGTTATTTTCACTGCCTAAGACCATCTTTCACTGTTCTCCTATTTCTAGGCTTCAACTCTCAAAACGGTACCTTTGAAGCCCAGATTAAATGTCACTTTTTCTTTTTTTCATTTAAAAATCTGGGCTTTATTCCCATAAGAAGATTTATACCACCTGCCTGGCTGAAGACCCATCACATCAAATGCCTCTGGCATCAAATGCCACTTTCAACCTACTTTTCCAGCATTATTTCATATTACTCTTCATCATGACCTCTCTGTTTCAACCCAACTGGACTATTAGCAGTTCCTGAAAGCATTCACAGAGCTCTACCCCTCTGCCCAATCTAACTCATCCCTGGCTCTCAAAAGAATTGAAAGTTGAGCTGAATTGAATTAGAATTCAAAAGGGGATAAATGTAAAGTATCACCTTGGGTTCAAAAAATCAATGTCACAAATACAAAGTAGCTACTTCCAATTCTTATGAAAATGTTCTAGGGATTTTAGTAAACTACAGACTTAAGAATCAACAGTGTGATATGACAGCCTGCAAAACTAATACGCTTTTCAATGACCTTGCAGAACTGTTGTAGTCTAATCTGATCAAACCCCATCTGGAATATTGTGTTCAGTTCTAGAGACCACATTTAGGAAAGATAAACTATGGAGCATCCAGAGCTTGGTAACTAGGATTGCGAAGGTCCTTAATATAAAACTGTATGGATCAGTTGAAAGAATTGAGGGAGGTTAGCTCAGAGAACAGAAGACCTAGTGGGAAATGATAGCTATCCCCAATATTTGATGGCCTATCATAAAGAAATGGGATTAGATATACTGCTTGGCTCTGGAGGACAGGATTAGGAGCAATGAGCAGAAGTTGAAAAGATGCAAATTTAGGTTTGATATAAGAAAGAATTTCCTTACAATTAGAGCTAAGCAGAAGTTAAATGGGGCATCTCAGTGCTCTCGCCTCAGCAGATGACTTCTGCAAAAGGTTAGGTGACTATTTGTTGAGTATATTATAGCAGTGATTCTTGCTCAGATATGGGTTGAATAATGTGGTTTCTGAAGTACCTCTCAACACAGAGATTTTATAGTTCTTCCATAATAACCTTTCTGATCTTCCTATGTGGAAGTATTCTCTCCCTACTCTCAATCCTTAAAATACTCAATTTGCAATGCTCTTATCAAGCCTTTTTTTTTTACTAGTAAATTATAAAGCTCTTGAAAGCAGGGAAACTGTCTTAGCCAACTTCAGGTCTTGCATAGAATCTAGCAAAGTGCATTGCACATCTTAAGTGCTCAATAAATATTTGGTGAATATATTAATGATGGAGCCTAGAAGACTCCTAAAATCGTAGAAGAGAATCAAATACGATAAAAAAAAAAAAAGAAACCATCAAACTAACTGAAAAACTGAAAAGAGCAAGTGCTTATGTTTCCCTTCATATCTGACCAGTGTGGAACACACATATTTATTATGTTCTAGTTGAAAGACAACAAGTGAAGCTTCTCATGAAACACCCAAAGTGTTTAGGTGTAGGAATATGTGTCCTCATTCAGTCTCAGGCAGAGAGTAACTCCAAACTCTTTACCTTAATGTATTAGAACTGAGATACAGTGGCACTCTTCTTCTTCTTCTTCTTTTTAAATTCCCTAGTCTCTCACCCACATAGACTAAGAGATCCTGGGTGCTATGAAAGAAAGAAAAGGCAGCTAGGGAGAAGTGAGGTGGGAGAGGGCAGGAAAGGGTAGGGGTGGGATTTATATCATAAGTATCATAGAGAGGCATTAAGTGAAGAGACACAGACTGAGGGAGAGACAGAGACAGGGACAGAGACAAATTTATATTCGCATAAGAAGCATACCTATTGAGATCCCCCAAAACAGACAGACAGGAAGACGCAGAGAGTGACAGACAGGAGGGACAGGACACACTTGCGTGTTTGAAATCATTCATACCCCCAAATCCAGGACGCAGTCTGTTGTCATAACCATCGAGTAAACTGTCCAGGATGAGAGTGAAATTCTCTGGACGCAATTTCTCCTCCTTTATGATATCTCCTGGGGGTTCGTTTAAACTGCACCACAAAATCAACAAAAAAACAACAGAAATGTATGAAAGACAGAAAATAATAAATGAAAGATATAGGGAATACTGAACTGATTTTCAAGGGTCAAAGCCCTTCACCTGAAGCATCATTGGAAGAGGCTGGGGAGGGGGGGAGGGAGTAGGGAGGAGGTAAACTGATTGAGGGAGGGAGGGAGAGAAAAAGGAATGGTCAAACAAGGCGTACTCCCTCTCCATTTCTCTCCCCCTACTCACCACACATGCACACACATGTACACAGGATCGTTTCTCCCTATCCCCTTCCTTCTCTTCCCTTTACCAGGTCCCAAGAAAGCTTTGGTTCGGCAACAGTCCAAAGCCCAGAGTGAGTGCCCTGGGTAGTTCCCAAGGAACTACCCAGGGCACAGTAGGGGTCTGGCTAGCTGGCCACTTGGGCCACCCTACACCCCACGCCCCCAAGGCCTCTGGGGAGTACTCACCAAGCCGCCAGGCACAGGAAGTGCAAGAGGGTAAAACTGACCCCGGAGGACATCGTGGTTCCTGGCTCCTTCTTGGTAGAAACCATCTTTGCAACATGCCATACTTTAAGCCTGTTCACGTTTTTCGTCTCGCAAATGCCTAGTCCAGGGAGCGGAGAGATCACACAGCGGTTGGCAACCGCGCGGGCACACACGCACACTCGCGCTCACACTCACACTCTGACACACTCGCCCAACGCGCTCATCACAGGATGAGCAAGTGTGTGTGATCTGGGGGGGGTTGGAGTGGCGGTGGGAGGGGACGGCAGGACCTGATTTTAATCTCTAGCCTTTTCTAGGAAAAGCTGAAATGTAGAGAGGTAGGTGCCCACCTCGGCACCCCTCCCACTCCTTCTCCCTACAGTACATACAGGCTGCGCAAGTTTGTCTGAACCTTCAACTCTGTGGAGGAAAAAGAGGTACATTCTCCACCCCCACCCCCTATCCAAGCCCCTTCTTTAATCCCACCCCCACCCCACCCCCACACACACACCTCCATTAATCCTCTTCTCTCTAAGGATGGATTTTGATTTTGCCAATGAAATGCAGGATGTTTGACGACTCCTCTTTCACAGGGTAAGAAAAGGGGTGCGGGGTCCTTCTACTTTCCCCCCTCCTCCGCTTCATCCCCAAAGAACCAAATCTACTGAGAGGGTTTAGGGGCAGAAACTACGGATCTACCGTCTTCAAGAATTTGGGGAGAAGGGAGAGCCAGCTTGTGGTAAAGGGGTTAAATTCCACGGAACGGACCCCAACCTATGACTCTGATCAGGTGAATACAAACCAGGCTTGAGCTTTACTATTCATGTTGAAGACAACTGCTTTAATAAAACTTAAATCCTTTACCAGTACTCCTTCCCTCCCCACCAATATTTCTTTGCTTCCTTCCATCCTTTATGTCCCTCCCCCACCATTGCTTTAACCACCCCACTCCAACCCCCAGGACTGGGGGGCCTCTGGAGGGAGATGAAAGGGGACGCCTACTGAAAATTACTTTGACTTCTTTGCAACCCTCTCCCAGAATGACGCACACTTGCTTTCAGACCTCCCCTTCAGTTTTATTCTCTAAAAAAGAAAAAAAAAAAAAGACGAAGGTTCTTTGGCTGGATTCTAACTGCTCTCGAAAGTTTAAAAATAAAGTGGAAATAAAACGAAGACCTGCTCTGCTAGTGTGATAGTTCTGTTTGTTCTCTGATTTAAAACCAGGTGGGGAAAAATGTGGAGCTGAAATGAACAGGTCATAGACAAATCATGATGGTTTAAATGGCCCCGTCCGTGGCTGCTGTGCTAAAAATAAAGAATGCACCGCCACCCAAATCTATATAAAATAGTTAATTGTTCTGATTTGCTAAACACCAGGAACAGAAAGAAAAAGGAGAGAGGGAAGAGGTCGTGTGGCTTCCTCGTTTGGCTATGCCTGTGTTGGCTTTCCTAAGGTGAAGCCTGATTTGATGACCCAAATAATTTTCATTATGCAAGGTCTTTGGGATCATGCCCCAATTAGTGTGCCCTGTTTAAGGGGCTTTTGTGGGTAGATGTAGAAACACACTCAGTTAGAGCCTGGTCTTTCATCACTTTGGGGAGGAGAGTATACAGTGCAAACAATCTATCCCTACCCCACTTCACCCCACCTTCAGATTTTACTAGAAGTCATATATTTTATAGATTCTAGCCCACAATAGGCAATCCATGAATGTTTGTTTAATAGAAGTGATGAATCTTAATGTGGAAATTCAAACCTAGTCTAATGAATAAGAATTCAAGTACTAGTTTAGTTGCCAGACTGTCTTGAAAATAATTGTATATTGGTTAGTTTCTTCAGAGTCTTCCGTGTCTGAAATGTTCAGAACTGCCATCTGCTTGAAACCTGATTATATTTTACTTAATTTCTCTAAATATTATTCATTATTTTCTTTTATAACAAACCAAATGTCAATTGTTTGCTAAGCCCCCTGTATCTGGAAAGCTAACTACCTGAAAAATAAACTAGAAAAATTTTAAAAAGTATCTTTGAGGGCAAGAGCTAGTTTTTTTTTAATGGTTAAATCAATCTATCAGATGTCACTACTAAATGAAACCTCTTGAGAAGCCAGTTCCATTCTTTCACTTAAAATCTTCTATATTCCTTTTGCTCTTTTGAGCCTTTATCACAAATTACTGAATTTAAGAATTGGAAGGGACCTTAGCAACAACCTCAACCAACTCATTTGCAAAAAGAATCCTCAAATCTAACATACCTGACAAATGGCTGCCCAGCCTTTTGAAGGACTGACTCCAAGGAGAGTCCCACTTCCTCTTTAAGCAGCTCATTCCATTTGAAGAGAGTATGAATGGTTAGCAAGGTGTTTGTTTGTTTGTTTGTTTGTTTTCCCTAAAGTCCAAGCCTAAATTGGATTCTTTGCAATTTCCACTAAGTGCTGCAGGTTCTGCTCTCTAGGGCCAAAACAGAACAAACAAAATGTCTCCTACACGTGAAAGACACTCACATACTTGAAAAAGTTATGTTCTGCATTTGTCTTCTCAGGGCCATACATGCTCAATTCCTTCAATCAATACTCATTTGACTAAAGGTAATTCATTATCCTGGTTGCCTCTGGAATCAAGGTCCTTCTTAAATCATGGTGCCAAGAATTGAACATGATACTCCAGATAAGATCTGTCAGGGGACACTATCATTTCCCTATTCCTGGAAGATACTTTCATTCTTAATGCAGCCCAATATCTAATTAGCTTTTTTTGTTTTTAGCTTCCATTTCACAATACAGATTTATATTGAGTTTACACTCCAATGAAACCTCTATTGGGGGGATTTTTTTGGTTTGTGGGGTTTTTTTGTTGTTTTCTTCTACGTTTTTTTGGGGGGTTATGTTTTGTTTTTGGTTTTGTTTTGTTTTTGGTTTCCAACTATGCATCTCCCATTTTATGGTTGGGGAGCTGATTTTTTGTACCCAAGTACTTTACATTTATCCCTACTGAATTCCATCTTATTGGATTTAACCTAATACTCTAGACTGCCAAAATCCTTTTTTGATTCTTACTATGTCATCCATTGTTTAAGCTATCTCTCACAATTTTTATCATCTATAAACTTATTGGTGTTTTTCCAAGTCATTGATAAAAATGGCAAACAGCACAGAGGCTAGAACAAACCCTTTGGGTATTCCACTGAAAGTTTCTTGCTACATTGACACTGAACCATTAACAACTTTAAGTCCAACTATCAAACCAATTCTGAATCAGTTTAATTATATTACCATCCAATCCATATTTCTCCATCTTTTCCATAAGAATACCATGAGATATTTTACCAGAAGCTTTGCTAAAAATCCGGGTAAATTATATTCACAGAATAAATGTTATTTACTACGTCTTTAATTCAAGATACAGTGAAAATGTGTTTGCACTAACAATGAAAGTGATTTAAAAAAAAAAAGAAGAAAAGAGAACTACTACATGGATAATCAAGACGATATTGACTCACTCTAGCAAGTTATTTTTATAAGTATTTATAGGTTCACACTCATCCATCCACACTTTCCCTCCACAAACATCAAGAATTTCTGAGCTGATTACATAGGGTTTGGGATGAGATATAGATATTGTATCCTTAAAACTAAGCCATCCTTGAATTCTGGTACATTGGGGCAAATTCAGTTAAGTTAGTAATTATAGCCCAGAGGACCATTTTCCTTCTTTCCCACAATTCAACTGAAGCCAAAAAAGAAAGATTCAGAGAAATAGACCCCTCCCCTTTCAGTGAATTAAGGCCCCTGAAGGTCCCCTGAGTAATAATAGAAAGTCGGTGAGAGACAGCTTTTCAGTCTGCTGCTCAGCCCTGGTGGTGCCCCTCTGCTTGAGATTATATCTGATTTGTAATAACAAATTCCAATGAATTCCACAAAGGCCTGCTTCTCATCCAGGGACTGACCCTCCATGAATTGTTGCACCTGCAATTCCCTTCCTTTTTCTTCTTCCCCTCTTATATAGAGGATGACTTCAGAAAGGAAGCAACCTCTACGCCCTTCCATGTTATAAACATATTTTCAGATATCTTTGATAATGGCCAACTTCCAGTTTCCCCATCATAAGGTGCATTCAATCAAGAAATGAGCACTTTTTCTTCTTTTGTTTTTATTTTTTAAATAGTATTTTATTTTTTCCAATTACATGTAAAGACAATTTTTAACATTCATTTTTAAATAAACTTTTGAGTTACAAATTTTATCCCTCACCCCCTTATCTCTTCCTCCCTAAGAAAATAAGAAATTTGATATAGGTTATATATGAAGGTTATATATATACATATATATATATGCTTTTTCATAAGAAGCATGTGATTTTTATAACCATGTGAGGAAAATGATTATTCTTATTGAGAAATTATCCTAAATTTAAAGATAAAGAAACTGAGGCTGAGAAAGATTAAATGGCATTCCCACTGTCACACAGTGTCTGTATGAGGATTTGAACTAAGGTCTTCCTAACTCCAACTCCAGTGTTCTGTTCACTACTATCAATAATCAATCAGTCAAAAAGCCATTTATTAAATGCCTATTATATGTTAGGCACCATGCTAGATGCACAGATGCAAAGAGAAAAATGAAACTCACCTTACCCTCAAGGAGCTTATGTTCTATCAAAGGACATGTGTGTGTATAAGTGTGTGTATATGTGTGTGTGTGTGCATGTATATTAGTACAGACAAAATACAAATAAATGCAAAGTAATTTGTGCAAGTGGTGGGATGCTGAAGGCCTAGATGGGAATCAGGATAGGACTGATGCAGAAGATGCCACTGGAGTTGAGTTTTGAAGGCAACAGGGGATGAAAGAGATAGATATAAGAAAGCAGTGCCTTCTAGCCATAAGAGAAAGCTAGTGGAGTGGTACAGAAACCAGAGGAAGAATGACATGTGTAATGGCAAGAAGACTGATCTGGTGGGATTGTAGAGTGCATAGATGACATCATTCAGTATAGACTAATTTAAAGTCTTGTAGGTTTTTACAGGTTATCTTCCACATTAAATTCTGTCCCAAAATTATGAATTTTCCCCTTTCAGTCAGTTCTCCCTGTCACTGCTTCCTCTCCCAATTTCCCCAATCATAATACTAACAATATTTTTAATCTGAAACTTTGCATGAACACATTAGATCTAGGTTTATGATGCTGAAAGACTGATCACTAATTCAGATATGCATCTTTGGTGCTTTCAAACAGTTCCAGTTGGAGTTTGGAATAAAAACATGGCAACTTGGATCAACACCTAAGCAAATGTTTTTAAGTGCCTATTAAATTCAGAGGATGGTATAATACACCCTTTTATGTGTGAGTAAAGAGAATGGTTTTATACTTGATTTCTTTTCCTGTTAGTTATGTTGTAACATGATTTAATTCAATTCTTTTTTTTTTCAATTCAAGTTACTTATTTCTCATCTAGTTTAGCTGTAGAGAATGCACTGGATGGTCTTACACCTTTGCCTGCATAATAGGCTATCAACAAAATTCCTTACGAGACCTGGGAATTGCAATGGTACTGCAAATATGAATTATTTCATAATCTGGAAATATTAGTTAAATGAAAGTTATTATAAATTATCTTTCATTTCTGATCAAGTATTTTAATGCCTCAAGAACTTCCTTAAATTCAGTCTGGCCACAGTTGCTATTCTAAAAATCTGGGCTTTAATGCCTATGTACTTCATGCTCAAAACAGTAAAGAAATGCCATTTCTATCTTTAAATAATATAGATAATAATATACTCAGTTGTTTTAATACTGTGTTTTCTTGGCTAACCTGGAGATCAGTCAACTAGTTTGATATAATAGTCTGGTTAGAAATAAGATAGAACCTTACCAATTAGTAAATATGGGCCTGAATTCAAATTCTGACTCTGCTACATAACGTAAGAGAACTTCAAAAATTCACTATGTATTCTCTAGGCC